TCACTGAGATATTTGAATGCTAATCAATAAAAATCAAATCAAATCAAACCAGTGTGTGAATGTGTGTGTGAATGGGTGGATGACTGCATATGTTAAGCGCTTTGGAGTCCTTAGGCACTAGAAAGCGCTATACAAATACAAGCCATTTACCATTTTAAATATGTATAGTGCCTTAGCTAACTCCAGTAGCTTGCTAACACAGTTCATACTTTAATAGCTAACTAGACACAGGCTGCTAGCGTAAACCACTGATGTCTCAAAATGTCATATTTTTAGCTAGCAAACAATATTTTAGCCTTTAGTTTAGGTTTTGTAGGAGAGATTTGGAAGGTATGAACCAAAATGTAACTCTATAAAAAAACTTTAAATCTTTACTTGTGATGTTTATAGAAAAAGTATTTTACATTTAAGAAATAAAAGTATTCTTATTTGAAATAACTGCTGGTGTTAATACCTGATTTTACCTGATTAATGGAAATTACTTGAATTTTTTCATGCGCCTTTTTCACATTGGCTGTTTGTGCAGGTGTCTCTGGACCAATACCACACAGAAGAGGAGATCTATCAGATGTCTTTACAGAGGGAACCACGCAAGCCAGTGGTAAGCAGCATGGTGATATACTCATCCCGTGTGTTCCCAGCCCCTCACCTCTCATGCACTAATATTGCTTTTCTACAGACTTGCTATGATAGATAATGGTGATTTTAAGCGTGCCTTCTGAACCTCAGTCTAAAACTGCCTGCATTTCAGACAAATATACTGTAGACAATATTTATCTTAAGATATTAAAATATCAGAATTGTTACGCTGGAAATCTTTTTCAAAAAGTATTTTCATTCTGATCCACCGAGGTTATTCCTGACTTCTGCCCTGTGTGGCAGCTTTCTTTGCTTCACTTCTCTGGTTTATTATTGATCTCATGGTCTCTGATTTCTCATCAACTGTAGCAGAACTCCAGCCCTGCCCCCGCACCTGATCCCAAGCCCAGTATGATTGATGAGTGGGCCGTTTCAGTGAAGCCCAGCGCTGACCCCACGATCATCAAGAAACACATAGAGAAGATGGTGGAAGTGAGTTTCTCTGCTCCCGTCATATTCACATCTCTCAGAGCCTGAGAGGTGCTACAAGGATAAGGATAAAAATGAGCTGTGGCTGTACTCACCACCACAACTGTCAGAGATCAAAAGTTTAAAAACTGATACATCTCTAGGCTTTTACCACTAAAATGATTAATTCAAAAACAATAACGCTCACCAGTGCTCTTCATTATCAAACTGCTGGATCATAAAATCATCTTTTAGACTGCATGAGTCTGATCTACTACATTTTATTGGGCTTGTCAAAGATTTAACAAATGTCAGAGTGTATTTTTTTAGTCTTGCTTTCCGATAAGAGCACAAACCATAATTACCATAACTAGGGCGTATGTGTTTTGGTAACTTCTTCCCCACAAATGCACATCTGCAAATGAGTTGCATGACAGATCTACTCTGTCTGTAAAATTCTGTTCCAGCAAATGTTATTTTCCAGATGTGTTAAGTTGGTTGTCACCCAGTCAAAGTGTTAGCTTTGTTCTATCTACTGTATATATATATATATTTATAAAGTTTAAAGACAATCAACATTATTTAATAAATGTGACCTGCTGTGATGCTGTGGGTTTCTCTGCCTTTTAGGGAGGGGAATACTTGTTTCCCAGTTTGAACATTTAGTTTTTTAGGTTGCTCTGAGAGGTGTTATAGGTGTTAGTATCAGAACTGCTAATTTATCAAAACTACACAATAAACAAGTGAAATGCAGATATATGACCAAAGATGGAAAAGAAAAATGTTGTGAAACTTGGTGCAGAGCTCATGCATGGACAAATCTGTGGATCTAAATTTTAAATACATAAATTATTGTGTTATTTTTCAGGCAATCACAGTAATCACTTTTCCCTAAAAACAGCCTAATTACTTGACATCTTTCTTCTTTTCAGTCAGTCTTCAAGAACTTTGACACAGATGGCGATGGCAACATCTCCAGGGATGAATTTGAAGCAATCAGGAACAACTTTCCATACCTCAGCAAGTTTGGAGAACTGGACAAGAACCAGTGAGAATCTGTAGCTTTATTCATAAGCACTTTATAGACTGAGCCAACTTACAATCTGCTTTCTGTGACATTCATCTCTTTCTGCGTCCTCTTACAGAGACGGGAAGATCAGCAGGGAGGAGATGATAGACTACTTTATGAAAGCCAGCTCTCTGCTGAACTGCAAGATGGGTTTCATCCACACTTTTACTGAGACCACCTATGTCAAGCCAACGTTCTGTGAACACTGTGCTGGCTTTGTGAGTAAACATCTATGCCTAAAACTTAAACAGTAGCCATCTTTTCAGCTTGTGTATAATTCTGCTTTTGACCTCAGTCCATCCTAAAATGTTCATGAAACACAGTCCATGAAAAACTCGATTTTAGGCACTGACTCAGCTGTATGATTTATAAATGCCCCAGTGTCATGCACTTCATTATTTGTCTTGGCTGTCACTGTCAAGCCGTGGTAGCACAACTCTTTAAGGTTTCTCATGTCAGGTCAGGGTAGTGCAATCACTTTGAGCTGCAGCCACACACTGCTGAAGTTGCATTCTGGGAAATATGAGAGGAAGTTAACTGGGTGAGATGATAACCCTCGTCTGTGGCAGTGTTAAGGGTGTGTGAGTGTGCGTCCTCTGGCTCTCAACGTTCCCAAAAGTCCCCCAAGGATCTCTGTGTTATTGAGACACAGACAGTGACTAAGCTGTAATGAGAACAGGCCTTTAATGTTGAAGTAGAGACATTCATTTCTTTATATTGCATTATAAGCGGACCAATTCTCGAGAGAGACGTACAGACAACCGTATGTGTTTCCATTAAAATTAAACATGCACACATGTGCACAGCAGCACGTTAAACTCTGGGGAAAGTCTGTTACTTTTAAATCGTCATGGGGGAAATTCAGAATACAGAGCAGAGAAAGATAAGGACCCTGGCAGTCTGCCTCTTCCTTTGGATATATCTGTGTGTGTGTGGCAGAGGTAGATACTGTACACCAACCACTTCCTCATCTGTCTGCTTTCCTCTTGGCTCCTGTGCAAACAAAATATTTTCCTGCAGCACATTTTTCAACACTTGCCTCAAACATGCTGTCCAATTCCAGCCGGGCCTTCTGTAAACACCAGCATCCAGTCACTGGTATTCGCACAAGGATGTTCAGTCTGGTGCTGTGGTGCCTGCATTCTTCTTTGGTCTTTTATTTTAATTACTGGCTTAAAGATTACAGAAGCAAGCCGACAATGCACCGTGTGCAAGCTTCTCCATCTCAGGAGGATGCAGCAGGCTTCTGGAAAAGATTCAAACAAGTTTCAGAAGAGAAATTACACAGAGTGATGCATCGAGGCTTTTTGACGCATGCTGCATCTCTTATTCTGTTTTGAGTTACGAGAGTGTTCATACCTTGTGACAAAAGATAAAAATATCTCATTACAGTCACAGATCTTTTGCAGGCTGCGTGTCTTATGCAGTATATACTTGATTTCCAAGGTACATTTGTACATGCATGTATGCTCATACTGCAAACTAGCATTTCTAAACAAGCCTACTATGGACATGTGTGGGTGACCTTATCCTGCTGGACTGCAGAGTTTGGTAAGAGTATGTAATGTCTGAAACGAAGTGTTTGGAGCTGTCGATGAGCTTTTGGTTTGCAGGGTTAATTGTACATTGACGTCATATTATGTGTTTGATATGGTTACAGGTTCTTAAACTAGCATAAAGGTCTACAAACTGAAAAATAATAATGGAGGTTAAAAACTACATGTTAAGTTTAACTCCCAGTCCTGAGCCTGATTCTGAAAGATGTAAAATAACGCGTCTACTCTGAGAATCATTTACAGTGAACAGTGATGCTTTACTGCAAATGATTTCACAGCCTTAAACATAATTGAGTGAAAGAGGCGTGCCCGTCCACCAGGCTTTCCTGCCTGCTGCGTCCTGCACAGGGTCATGCTGCTGCTCTCCCTGTCCCTGTTTTTCCATGTGTGCACATGGAAAGGGTGGGATGTGTGCTCTTTTTTTAACTTATGTGCATGACATAAATTACTGCAAATTATTTTGTCTGACAGACTAAAATGTTAGTTCGATCAGTTAACCCCCTTCCTCCACTAGAGACAAAAAAATAGGGTACCTTTGAGCTTGTCTAGATAAAGTGAATCCAATTCCAAATTTGCACATTTTCTTCCATTATTTCTTCCACAATAATGGCCGATGTCAGTCACTTAGAAAACAACTTGTTCCCTCATTTGAAAATACTTAAAATAAAATGGCGATAACAAAAAAAGGTTCATGGGAATTCAGTAGAATGATAAATGGAAACTTTTCTCGTCGTATAAAAGCCAAATTTTACCTTCTGTCACTTTTTTTGTGTTAAACAATTTAGCAGGAACAGAATGACATTTGAGATTTGTTACAGTCGGGGCATTAAAGACAGCACAGTTTCCCTTATTTGAACTTTCCTATTTGATAAAAGACTGCCTTAAAATACCTGAGAAATTAAATACACACAGCTTGTCAGTGCTGGTTGAAAACTCAACACTGAGGCACTCGAAATGATTTCAAAAATAGAAACATAAACGGCTCCCGGTGCATTTTTTTAAATATCAAATGTGTAACTACAGCCAGTAGAGGTGGCAAAGCTTAAATTAAAACCAGCATGTTTCCAGCTGTTGTTTGTAGTGTGTTGTGTTTTAGCGTCTACAGAGGCTTTAAAGGTCAGTCAGCGTAGGCAGGGCTGTGATGATAGTTGTGTTTGGATATTCTGCTCAGAACTAACTTCTCTTTGTTTTAAAGCCTCTGGCTGTGTGTGTGTGTGTGTGAGAGAGACTTTCTTTGTGTCAGTGTGCAAATGTGCACCTACAGGTGTATGTGGCTTTGCTGTCATTCATGTAGGTTTGTGTGTGTCTGTATGTGTGTACGTGAAGAGGTCAGGATATTTTGTGCCTCCTCAGATGTGCCAGTGCGGTGTGTGATCTCCAGTTCAGCTCTTTCATGTCATTGTTCCCCCACTGCCTGTGCGCTCCCTGCATCCCGCTTGATCTCGGTCCCCCTCCACCCCCTCTGTCCAGCCGGCCTCCCGTCTCTCTCCCCCTTTCTTTCCCTCTATCTCGCTCTCACACCTTACGCGTCTCTTTGCTTCATTGTACCTCTTTCTTGCCTTGCTTTGCCAAGTGCTTACTCACAGTTGCCTGTTTGTTGCAGTTTTCTCTGTATTATTGTAGGGTCTTTACCTCATTATATAAAGCGCCTTGCATCCTAAACAAAATAAAATCAGGATTAATGCCCAACCCCACTCCTTTTCCCCTCTCTTTTCTTTCTTTTTTTCCAGATCTGGGGATTTTACAAGCAAGGCTACAAATGTAAAGGTAAGAGAGGAGTCGTTCAGCTTTTGCTCGCTGTTTTCTGCACAAATAAACTTGTTCTAGCTACAAGGGTACAAGCTTCAAGGAATTAGTGCCTTTTTTTTGAAGCCATCGATTCCCATCTGTTGCACCTTCCACAGATTTTTGAGTGCTAAGTAAATGTCATCAAACATATCACACATTTAATTATATTCAAAGCCCTCTGCTTAAGCAGCTGGATAAACTCCATCACCGGAGAGCACACTATACACAATGGAGAATTATTTGCCCTTTCAGGCCTCCAAGTGGACCTGTGTTTGAGGAAGCTGGTTCATTTCACAAATGCACATACACAGAGGCCGGCTACCTTCTTAAACACATTTGCAGCTTGTCCACCCCCCCCTCTGTGGACATGCTGTTGGTGGTCCGTGCTGATGTTGTAAAGCAGAGTGATGATCTGCAGACGTTAAACTCTCTAAATAATTTGCAACAAATATGTTGCTCTCCAGATGTCAAGCAAAGGTTTGGACATGATGCCGGATCTAAAATGCAAATAAACCTAGTTTCCATCTGCTGTAGTCTTTTAAGGAGTGATTGGATACAGCTCAGACATCTGAGCGAGAACGGTAGGGCAGATATTTCATAGATGGCGTTTCCCTGCTTTTTCTGTGTTGCATAAACTAAATTCCACGTCAGGTTTTTGCAAAGATTTCTCAGTCAGCCTTGCCTACACAGTTTGTTCAGTTACTAGCGTGAATATCTCATTATTTAGAAGAAGTTAAGTATTGTGTTAATGCAATGACAGCTTGAGAAACCTCACAGTAGTATTGTATTGTGTGCAGAGTCCTTGTGTATCTCTTGGAGCCTTGGAGGTCTAAGTAGGAGAACAAAAGGACACATGTGTTAACAAATACAGATATTTGTGTTTGAATTAGTGTAACAACTTTAAGGATTAGTAATTTCTTATTTTTCATGATGACGTCATGTTGACTAGGTCACGGCCATACCACCCTAAGCACAACCGATCTTGTCGGGCCTGGTTAGTACTTGGATGGGAGACTCGGATTAGTACTTCAGGAGAGGTAGAGCAGGTCATTTGCTAATCCGAAGGTTGCTGGTTCAATCACTAGCTGCTCCAGTCTACATGTCAAACATCCTCGGGGAAGATGTTAACACCAAGTTGCTCTCTGTTGTGTGACTGGTACATAGAAAAAGTGTAGCAAAAAGTGCTTGCGTGAATGAGGCAAGTTATGTAAGGAGCTTTAAATCTTTAACTTGTGTTTGTTATTAAAATACAAAGACAAGCATGTGATTGCTTTAAAAAATAACACAAGCAGATCCACACAAAGAGATCGATGCATTTCTCTGTGTATACAGACACACATACACACCACTGACCCTCACACTCTCCCGTGTCCTCTCCACTCTACAGGAGTGCATTCTGTGAGCCTGACTGAGAGTTTTAGTTCTGGCTTGTTCCATTAATGAGACCAGGGGAAGTCAATGAGAGAGCCCCACAGCCATTCATCCCCATTACCATTGTTAGCCCAAACTCAGGGAGGTAGACAGACCGGCAGGCACATAATTGAAATGAATCACCCACTGCAGTGCAGTGCAGTGCAGGAGCGCTCTTGATGTGTGTGGGTTGTCTGGTGTGTGTAATGGGGTAGTAGATGTCAGCTACTGAGATTTGAATCAGAAACCTCTCACTGTCTGAACAGATGTGGGGCTGTGCTCATGCCAGCATTCTAACATCCATATCACAGAAACATCTTTGCTTCTTTCTATCTCTTTGACGTTTTAGCAAGTAGGCTTCTTTTTTTTTGCTTTAGACCTTAAGACTGCTCTAAGATCTCCTTGTTAAATTTGAATTGTCATCCCCCAGCTGCTTTGCTCACCATAGCATGAAGACTGGGAAAAGTAGCAACATTTATAGCTTCATATACATTGGAAAGACATGAGAGTACATGAGAGTTTAAGCAAAGACTGATAGGTATGTGTCATTATTTGGGAACTGACAATATCTGTGATAATTATTTTAGAATGAAAAATTCATAGTGAGTTAAAGAAATAAGCATTATTAAAAATTAATAAAAATTAGTTATATTGCCACTATGTAGGTTGTTACTGTTTTCTTCTCTTGATATGATGCTTATCTGCACACTTTATAGTTATTTAAAGTCAGGTGACTACCACCAGTGACAGTGAAGAAATGAACCAGGAAAGATTTCTGTTGCTGTGGATTCCAGTAACTCAGGTGCTTTCCTGCTGCCTTGCTGGGTGACCCATCACTCCTCTCCTTGTAGACTACCCACAGCTGACAGAGCTGTTGTCGGGCACAGTCGGCCTTACCGTGTGCATGTGCCAGTGTTCGTGTGTCTGTACAGCATGTCGAAGCACTTTACTGTCACCGTTAGCTCTCCCGTTTGCCCCGTCTCATCAGTTTGCACCCGTCCCTTTGTCTGACCCTTCTTCTCCACCTCCATCTTCTTCTCGCCCCTGGCCCTCTCATCCTTTCTTCCTGTCTCGCCTGCTCTCTCGCCGATTGTCCCTCCCTCCCTTCCGATCCCCCCGTCCTCTCCTCCTCTCCCGAAACCTGTCCCTGCCTCCATCTTTCTCCCATCGTGCGAACATTCCCACTGCAGCCTGCGGGGTCAACTGCCATAAGGCCTGCCGAAGCCGGCTGGCTGTTGAGTGCCGGAAGAGGACCAAGAGCATCAGCCATGAAGCGCCGCCAGCTCTCCAGGCCAGATCCTACAGCTTCCCTCCTCCTGCTAACACCCCACCCAGCCTGCAGAACACTGGTAAGATGCATCTACATGCAGCTAGCATCCCTCATGTTTCCAAGAGGATGATTGCTGAAATGGACCCCTACACATGTCTAAATACGTATTACATTAAAAATTAAAAAATGATTTGTGATCCCACTGATAACTTTTATAACATTTCTGATCAATTTCAGCCTTTTTGGATAGAGCCAGCCCTCCTATTTCTAGTGTATATATATACACACACATATATATATATATATATCTATGGTCCTTATGCAACTACCTGCTGCTGGCTGTGGCCTACAGGCATGAGCAAAAAGCCCCCACAGAATAAGTGTATTTTTCAAGCATCGAGTTACTTGTTTTTAGAATCTTTGTTTCTCACAGGAATGAATACAGTACCAGCTAGCTTGATATGTGTACAGACCTTAAAGTTTGACCCCTCGTGCTGATAAAATAGAATCTCCCATCGCAGGCATCAAAGATAAACAAGTGTAGCCCGGAGGAATTTTGACTTCATGTCACCACTGCAACACCTCCACTTTTTGATGGGGGCTTTTGTCTTCCTTTGAGTGTATGGGGAGCTGACATTTGGAGGGTTTTCTTCCAACAATAGAGTGTAATTTGCAATGGAAATGTAAATGGTCCACCACAGTGAGGCTAGTGACTCATAAAGGCAGTGTTTTCATCAGACATTAGCAAAAGTGGCGCCCTGCCTGGCTCAATTCTGTATCAGTGCAAACCTGCTCCATCAGTGGGCAGCACAATGCTGCCAGACGAACGAATTGGGAATGGTAAATAGACAAAGGCCGCACATTTCTGGGTTTTAGGCGATGCTTTGCATTTCCAGATGGCTGACCAAACCGCCACTTATTTCTTTGCCCTCACCTTCTCTGTTCCCACTAGTAATTGCTGAGGAGGATATAGAGGCAGTGGAGGAAGGAGTATTTGATGTCCATCTATAACCAGGTGAGAGAGGTGCACTTTGACCGCTTATTTGCTGTTTAATAGATAATTGTTTTATATGTTTTTGCTGATTAGTTATGTTCCTAATTAATTAAATGAGTTCATAGCTTCCATTTTGACCTGGAAGAATTCTTGTTGTCTGTAATGTCAGCAGGACCTGACACAGTCTGTCAGCTACCACAGTAATCATTAAAAGCCTGGCTATCAACCTGTAGCTCTTTCACAAATAACAAATTGTGTGGAATTAGTTAATTAGCTACAGAGTTGCTGGTCACCTTCAAACATGCGTACATATCTCCCAGTTTTCTGGCATAACTCATTTCTCTTCCTGTTAAAGCCACGTAACCCATGCAACCGCACAGAAAACACACCAGTGTGTTGTCGTTTAATCCCTTTCTGGCTTGAAACCTCAAATGAAAGTTCACTTCTCTTCTCAGCTTATTCCCACAGAAGTGAAACTAGTTTGAGTTTGACAAAAACGAAAAGTATCAGAGTGCATAAAAAAGGACCAGATATGGTATTGGAGATCATCCTGGAGATCTCTGTGAGAAGTAAACAAATATGTGGAGATTAATAATACTGAAATAATAATGATAATATTTACTCCTTTAAGGTCACTTAAAGGCGTTGCAGATGTAGTGCAATAAAATCGTGCACATTTCCACAGTATTTCACACCAAGTTACACACAGGCAATGTCAGACTCGTGCCTGATTTGCTTAGCTCGTGGTCTTCCCTTGAAGAGAGACAGTGCAATTATTCACCGTTACCACAGTTTCCCACAGCCTTTACACAGCATCGTCTGACTGTCAGTGTATGACAAATCTTTGCAGGAGTCTTGAACTGAAGAGCGGTTTTGATGAACAGGCCGGTGACAGATTTTGGCTCTTTTTTAGAATCCCTCCTACGGTCGGTGTTCGAGAAGCCAAATCAGCCCCTTTCGAGAGCGAGGCGGAGAATGTGCTACAGTGTGTCAGATTTACAACCCGCAGCGCTGAGGAGAAATTGCACTGAACACGATCCAGGATACCTACATGCTGCCACACGGTGGACACACGCTGCAGCAGCACTCCTCTCTGCCCGACTCACAGGAATGTGACGACCAGTGTGAACCGAATGTCTCTGTATGATTTCTATGAAAAAAAAAAAGATGTGCATTTTGATTCTGTGTCGGCCACGAGTGTTACTGTAAAATACTTACTAAATACTTACTCTTTCGCTCTCTCTATATATCTATATCTATATCTATTTAAAAGAAAATCCACAAAATTGTATTTTCTTGGTGAAATGTTCACGTCAGTGGAGTTTGTAAATTTGAGCACACTGCAGATTGGCGCAGTTGTCTTTTCTTTAAAACATAAAAGAGGTGCTGTTATTGCCAAGAATGTAAAGCTGCCACCCAGACTAAGCTACAGTCTCCTTTAAGTGGGAAGCTCAACTTTTTTCCCCCCCTCTCCTTTTGTTTGTTGTTTTGAAATACATTTCAGCGGACCAATAATAGGACCAATTTTGATGTCAGATAAAATATTTGTGGTGCCCGTCTGAAGTGCGATGACAACGGCAGCAAAGGAAACAGCTGAAAGAACCGTGGCGACGGCTGTAATTGGGATGGACTTTAATTAATGTTCTGTTCTTCGTCACGTTTACCTGAATATCAGTAACTATAGTTATTGCGGTTGGTGTTATTTTCAGTATAGAGTACTGTCTTGTACCAGTGCAGTGACAGATGACCCATCCTCCTGCAGTACTGTGAATGTAGCAGAAACAGGAATGCTGCTGTCACATGAAGAAGCCCATTTTTCTTTCCCAGTAAATGCGTTGAGAGCATTAAAGAAAAAATAAATGAAATAATCAAAAGAACAAGATTAGAACTGGAGCCGTTTTTATTTGACAGCAGCTTCTAAAAACATTTTCCTGAGAAGTTTCCATGCAAGTTGTATTTTCGCTGTTTATAATCTGCATGCTTCTTCCTTCTTCCTCGTATTCTCCTGACAGATATTTTTTTTCTATTTTTAAATTTGTAATTGTGTTTTTTTTTACGTAGCACGCCAACTTTTCGTTTATTTAGCAAGTATGATGTCTTGAAATTCCACACAGAGGAAATGTTTCTGTCTCTTGGTGCCTGTGGAGAGATGACTTCAGACTTTGAGTGGCGTTTGCTTCAACTGCCAGTTTGTCGCTGAATGAGGCTCCTCAGTTTGCTGGTATTTATTTTTTTGGTAAAAAAAACAAAGAAAAAAACGAATATGCCTGTCCTGTGCCACTCCTTGCCTGACGATTGGATGTTTGCTGTTATTCGGAACGATGTCATGCTATTCCTCGTGGTCTGTTTCTACATGATTCCTCAGTATTAAATGCAGCAGGCATCTTTCTAATATGTGTTCTTGTTATGAGATTCTGTGACTAATAATAAGAATAATGATACTAACAGTAAAATTTGTCTTGCTTTAGTCCTCTTTTCACTTTGTATGCTGAATCAAAGGTGTATTCACATAAATCTTTCTCTTCTTTTACTTGAGCAGGGAACACTTTAAATTAAAGATGGTTGATTTTACTTAAACTTTGTGCTGTTACTATAAATACAGATAATGTTTCATAATGAAAGCTGGCGATTTTGGTGAAGAAGAAATTCTTTTTTTGTTAAAAAATTGAACAATTGTGTCAAGTAAAACATCAAAGATATTCTTTCACAATTCATAAAAAGGGAGCTCTTTGTCTGAATCTGTCCATTCAAGATCAGCGTAGCTCAGTAAAACAGACAAAGAGGTTTAGCAGAGTGCAGGTGTGAAATCATTTAGTTAACACTAGCTGCAAACATGCTTAACTTCAGAACACTTTCTCACATTTAATACAAAACGGCCCAGTTTAATGTAGCATGTATGGCCTGCAGCACATTAAAATATCAATGCAACGTTTTTCTACGATTCCAAATTCAAGTATTTTCCAAGAGACAGTTTAACAGCAACTGAAAAAAGGTCTTTGAGATATTGCACCTATTATGGTCCTTGTTTTTTAATGTACTGCATAAACTGTTTGATATATACAATTAGGATATATACAAGCAACCCATGTGACTCAAAAGCTTTATTTTCTACTCTTGACTCTGTGTGATGTCAGAGGATAACCCTAATAAGGTCATTTTTGGGCACACAGCTTGTTCTGTCAGTTGGCTAGGGAAAGGGTTGTGAGCTAAAGTCACTCCAGTCACACTGATGGCCTGCACCACACCCCGGTGTGAGGTAAATAAGGATGAGCCATGGCTCATTTGACTGCCCAAGTCAAGTTTACAAATAAAAATATGGACCTGGAAATGAGCACAATAGGTCCTTTTTAACAAAACAGGATACTACTGTACTACTGTACATTTCATTCACCCTTCATGTGACCATGATCCAGTGCCCTCTGCTGCCTGTCCATTATAGGCATTAATAACCAGCCCTGAATGAGCCTCGGAGTCAGTGCCACATGTAATTATTCTCTGAGATGAAGTCAGTTGTGGCGTCTGATTGCACAGCCCTTGCTCCGTGTTTTCTGTAGACTTTCTGCAGCCACCGGCTCGGCTCATATCTCATCCCTCCTGTCATCATGCTGCTAAATGCTCTCATGAGGGACTGTGCCAAATAAAAATGAGCTGATGAATTGGAGAGGTGATGTGTTGATAACCTGGCCTTTTGACCTTGGTCTATCACGCACAAGAATAGTGTCACAAAAAGTATTTGCTGCCATCTGGATTTCTTTGACCTTTAAATATTTCACATCCTCCAAAAAAATCAAAATCAAAAAACGAGACAGAGATCATCCAGAAAAAAATAAAATGCATTTTTTGTATGATGATCTAATTTATTAAGCTATGTGAAAAAGTAATTGCCACCTAAACGTAATAACTGGTCGTGCCACCCTTGGCAGCAAGAACTGCAATCAAGCCCTTGCAGTAAGTGGCAATGAGTGTTTCACATCGCTGTGGAGGGATTTTGGCCCATGCTTCTTTGAAGAGTTGTTTTCATCCAGCCACACACACCACAAGCTTTTGAATGGCCAGTTTGGAGTTATGCTAAAACATCTCAATCAATTTCTTTGAGCCATTCACAGCTGGACTTGCTGGTGTGTTTCACTGCCCTGCTACACAACTCAGGTGTGCTTCAGGGAACAAATTGATGGTCACACATTCTCCTTTAGGATTTTTTGGTAGAGGGCCAAATTCATGGGTCCATCATGGTCCAGGTCCATCATGATCTCAGTCATGGTTCAGGTAATGAAGCAGCAAAGCAGCCCCACACCACCACAGCACCGCCACCATGTTTGACTGTTGGTATGATGCTCTTTTTGCCAAATGCTGTGTTAGTATTAGATCATTTTGACCCAAACTGTGAGGCCTGCAGTTCTTTAGATGTTGTTTTGCATTTGTGACCTCTGGATGAGTTGTTGATGCGCTCTTGTATACGTTTACACTCCTGGGAAGGTTCACCCCTATTACCAGTGCGCTACATTTGCAGATAATGGCTCTAACTCTGGTTTGTTGGAGTACCAAAGGCTTAGAAATGGCTCTTTAACCCTTTCCAGACTGGTTCTTGAGTTTCTTTAGATTGTGGCACGATGTCTTCGAACACATGTCGATCAATGACTGATACATTCAGCTACTGAAAAGCAGCTTTATGAGATCTTTTAGCCTTCTTCACTTTGTCAGACAGGTTCTATTTAAGTCATTTCTTGATTCAAACAGATCTAGCAATAATCAGGCTGGGGTGTGGCTAGTGGAAATAATATAATTTGTTTGATAGTCTGTAACATTTAAGCATGACAAGGGGCAAATACCGCCTTGTACTGTAGATGCATTCAAGTTTAAGCACATTACCGTGCTACTGTGATACATTCAGCTTCTGTAGCCACTTGTTCCACCAGCAAGAAGGTCCAATTAATGATATCCAAACCAAAAAAAGTGTTTGTACCCATTTTTTGTACCTTTAAACTAAAGCAATGAATGAAAATCCGAAAAAGAAAGGAGACTCAAAGCAAAATTCAACAGACCCCACACAAGCAAATAAATGACCTTGATAATGATGATAGAGGAACCATTGTTCAAACTTGACATTAGCACAATCTCCTCTTTAAAAATCACCCAGTGTCCCCCGTATTTGTGAGACTGTTTTTGCAAAGTCTCTACAACCGCTCATCAAAGTGTGTGTGTGTGGCCATCGCCGACTACAGCTCTCAAACATCTCTTTTAGCTCAGTGACTGATGCCTCCCATTCAGCTATTGAAAAGCCCTACCAGCAACGCAGCTACTTAGCCAGGAGCCTGAGCAATATCGATCTACAAAGTCTGAAATGAGGGAAATGGAATACCACCACAGCTAATTGTATAGTAATGAAGGCAGGAGGGAAATAACCTCGTGCATTGTTCACGCTCTCACACTGTGACCTTGATTGCAAGGAAAAAAAAAGACTCCAGGGCCTGAAAGCTAAAACACATTCTAGCTAAGACCCCCCCACCCCCAGCTGATGTTCAATTAGACAAAGATTCGACCCACAGCCCCCTGATAGACTATAGAGGCATATTTGTTCCTAGTTATTGGCATTTATTCGTTTCAGTTGCCAGAGATAAAAGATTATCATGTATGGAGAGAAGGATGTGGTGCAAAGAGTATCCACATGCAGTATTGATTTTTTTTTTGCCTCTTTTGGGCAGCAGATCACTCTCAGATTTGCTCATGCAGGACTAATGAACAGATCATTGATTCCATGTCTGCTCATCAAAAACTGGGAATGCAGCCAAGCTGTGTGATTATTTGACGTCTGCTCGTCTCTTTGAGCCCCACAGTGACACCTGCATCTGCAGCGCCGTCCCCCTGTGCTGCACTGACTGCAAGCATCTGGAGCTGTTAACCTTCTGCCAAACCGGGGTCATGGCTGCTGTGTACCACTTGGTGGCAATGTTGAGCTATTGTAATCGAGCACGCAGCGATGAAGGGCTCTTAGCAGTGAGGTGGGAACCGTGCCAGTGATGTGACAAAAACAGAGCCACTGTCAGGGGTTCAGGGTGAATCACAATGCAGCATCACAATGCAGATAACGGCGCTGGATTCCTCTGCCTTTTATATGTTTCGTCTCATAAAATGCAATAAAATGAAATAAAATAACATTTTTGAAACTGCCCAAGAAGATACATACTGTAAATAAAATAGACTGCTACTTCTTTATAAGCAGTCACTTATACTTGTATTTCTTATTCACCTGCACACAGACAAGCAATAAATAAATAAATAAAATACCCTCAGAACCATTTCAGCAGACACATGCTAGCGGTGTTTAATATGTTTTCACCCCACAGCTTGCAGGTGTCTCTGCAGAGAAAAACGAGTGAGTACATGTGTTTTATTCAAAGAAACCACGTATGTATTAAAATCGCATCCACAGATGTCCCTCGCTCAAAGTAATCTTTAAAGTCAAACAGCATAAATGAAGTTGATGCCAAGTAAAGCAAGTCAAATAGGTTCCAGCGAAAGCGCCTCGAGCGCCTGAGCGCTGCTTATCTGGCTCTGTCGACATTTTTTAAAAAGCAGCCGGGCAAACAGTCCCTCGCAAAGTCGAAGCGGCTCAGTCAGGCTGCAGCCTTAATTGCATTAAGATCATTGCTGACTCTGGTGAAGCACTGGGCACTGTAGGGGGTTGGAATCCTCATTAGAGGAGAATCAGTTATGATGAATATTGCTTTAAGAAAATTTGACTTTCTCCAGAGAGACCCAGTGGGATGTGGCCAGGACCTGGTGTAACTTTAAAAGAATTAGAGAAACACTTCTAATGTCTGGTTCATCTCTGCAGTTTCAATACTCTCAAGGCTTTTTTTTTTTTTTGAGAAGAGAAGAAGACAGCCAAGTAGCCAAGGTTATGCTATGTACTCAAATGCTATGTAAAATCAGCCTCAGCTGTCTCAAGACGTAAGATGAGAGACCAACTGAATCCTTAACCAAAGGTCTATGGACAAATATCAAGCTACCTGTAAACAAGGAGTCATTCCGAATGAGAAACCTGACAACCTTTCACCTCTTCTCCCATTCTTGCTGGGAGAAGTCTCATTTAGCCATTGCTGATACCAAATCATGTTACTGCGGCTTTGAGGACTGACACCAAATCAATAGCATTGCATCTGCAGTGGGGGACGCCTCGCATATTTAATATTCCTAAAGTGGTGGTACAGGGAGGAGGAGGATGAGGCAGGGAAGCACACCTCAGCAGCAAACCTGTTTTGACTGATAGACCCGCAGATTGTATCTCGTGACCCTGGCATCACCGACAGCGGAGCATCTGAGACTTATCTATGTATAACCTGAACAGCCGGGTCACCGTTGTTGCTAAGGGACCCCTAAAAAAAACAACTGAAGGAACGACAACAAGCTTATCCCTGGATGTACTTTACAGTCCCCATGCCTTTCATTCCCATGGTGTTTTTGAAGATTATAAGCAGCACTTTAGCGCATCTACCATTCCTGCTTTGAGGTATTCATGAAAGCACAGATATGATAGGCTATAAAAGTATGCATGCATAAATGGCTGCAAT